CATCCCTTCCCAGCCTCCCCCCTCCCCCCCAATCCCAAACCCTCCCCTTCCCCCCCCCCCCACCGACGTTGTAAAGCTCGTTTTGGACATGACAACTTGTACAAATTTTTTAATTCATTTATTTATTCGTTTATTTTTTGTCATGGCCTGGGCACTGACCCTGAACTCTTTTGCTCAAGGATAGCTCTCTACCACATTGAGCTACAGCTCCACTTCCAGTTTTCTGATGGTTAATTGGATATAAGTCTCACAGACTTTCCTTCCCAGACTGGCTTTGAATCGCTATCCTCAGATCTCAGCTTTCTGAGTAGCCAGGATTACAGGCAGGAGTCACTAGCACCTTCCTTACATATACAAATTTAATGCCTTTTACATCTTAACTAAGCACTTACCAGGCACTGAGGTATGACTTTTGCAGTTTGAGCAAATTTTTCACGATTTTCTTTTTCCTTCTTCAAAACTTCAGACAAAATATTTGGTTTTTGGCAAATCCCAGTGTTTAGGAGACTGAAGCAGGAGGATCGAAAGTTTGAGGTGAGATCCCGTCTCACATTCCTTTCCCCTCAAAAAGTATTTGTCTTACCAGAGATTTTAGCAATCTCAGCATATGATTTTTGTTTTATTAAGTCAAAAACTTTTACCGTCTCACTAAAAGAAGCACTTTATTCTCTCTCTCTCTCTCTGGTACTGGAGTTTGAACTCAGGTCTCACATTTTAGCTGGTATTCTAACCCTCGAGCGACATCTCCAGCCCAGATTTTTGCTTGTTGATTAGACATGAAGTCTCAAAGATTTTTCTGCCTGGGCTGGCTTCAAATCTCACTTCTCCAGATCTCAGCCTCCTGGGTAGCTAGGGTTATAGACATGAGACAGCAGTGCCTGGCTATCGCTTCTTTTTGGCATATCCAAATTGCCAGGGTCACTACACCTATGGTTTGGGGTAAAATAAAAGCTATTTAAACATAAGCACAGCAAAACTTCAACAATTGATAAGATGACTACTGAGTAAGTAGTAGGTGAGTCGTCTGCACAATATGGAAAGGCTGAATGATTCTGTGCCAAGCAGGATAGAACAGAATTTTAGAGACAATCACAATGCTTGGCATGGTGGCCAACTTCAAACTTATGAAGTGTTTACTTCTGGACTTCCTTTTTTTCTTTTTTTTTAATTGGTCGTGGGGCTTGAACTCTGGGCCTGGGCACTGTCCCTGTGCTCTTCAGCTCAAGGCGAGCACTCTACTGCTTGAGCCACAGCACCACTTCTGGTTTACTAGCGGCTTATTGGAGATAAGAGTCTCACGAACTTTCCTGCCCGGGCTGGCTTTGAACCTCGATCCTCAGATCTCAGCCTCCTGAGTAGCTAGGATTACAGGCATGAGCCACCGGGGCCCGGCTACTTCTGGACTTTTTACTTAATATTTGATTAATAGCTGGTAATAAAACCTCAGAAAGGAAAATCATGTATTCAAGAGGAATTACAATATCAAGGAAGAACCATGGGCTGAATAGTTGGAGCAGAGGAGAGCAGGTCAAGGACAGTTTCCTGATGGAAAGCACAGATGGTCTAAGACTGTTTTGTTTGCTTTTGAGACAAGGTCTCCTCAAGTAGCCAAAACTGACCTAGAACTCATCTTTCTGCCTCAGCCTCCTAAGTACTGGAATTACAGTCATGTACTACCTCAGCCAGCTTTGATCTAAGTCTTGATACAAGAGCTTTCCCTGAGTGTAGACACAACGGCTGGAAAATTTTGAGAAGTCATAAGCTAGTGTAAGTGCAATACAAAATGTGAGCCTGTGGTGGCTATAGGGTCAGAACCCAGAAGGCCTACTGTGCCATACATGTTATGGAACTTAGAATTGCCTGTATGATGTCAATGAAGGCTTTCAAGAGTATATCTTAGGTCCTGACACTGGCATATTGATTTTAGGGAGCCTTAACTAAAAGCAAGCACAATTTCATACAATAACTTAAATAATAGCCATAGGTAGTTTGGAATCTAAAGGAGATTACAAAAAATAGTAAAGTTGGTAAGACTTTATAACTGCCAGCGTGTTGGTAACAGTGTTGTTGGGGGGGGGTGACAGAAAAGACAGGAAGGGTTGGAATACATGGGGTGCTAAAAGTAGGCTAACCAATGACGCAGATCCCAAGTTTAGCTCCCCATTTCAATCTGAGAAGAAATATTTTCTTTGCCTTTGTCTAGGTTTCTCAGAGCAGGCACAGAACATCTGGGGGTGGGTAGGCAGTCTCAGGAACATTTGAATTTCAGCTCAAAAGTGATAGCATAGCCTACTAGAACTCAGAAGCTTTTCTTTTCTAATTCGAAGGATGGAAAAACAACTAAGTTTCAAAGTAAGAGTGACTACATCATTCAAAGTCAATCAGAAACAGGTAATAAATTGAAGGGACGGGATGGGTTGTGAGAATGGTGAAAGGGCGATATCAATTGTGGCGTGTTGTACTTACAAACTGACATGTTGAAGGGTAGCCCCTTTTCCCCATCTAACTTATTCTTACTAATCTACAGTAAAGCCAGCAAAGAAGAAGACGCAAACAATGAAATCCTCATATCAGACCTGAATTTTAACCATGGCCCTGTCTTGGTCTGTCCTGCAGGTGATCACCTATTCCAGTCGTCATGTCTACAATAACCTAACTGAGGAACAGAATGGCCGGGTAGCCTTTGCTTCTAATTTCCTGGAAGGAGATGCTTCATTGCAGATTGAGCCTCTGAAGCCCAGTGATGAGGGCCAGTACACCTGTAAAGTGAAGAATTCAGGACGCTACGTGTGGAACTATGTCATCTTAAAAGTCCTAGGTAAGATAGGGCCAAGGAGCTGCCTATATCTTGCTTTTTGTTTTTTTTTGAGACAGGGTCTCACTATGTAGAGTCCATGCGTCCATATTGAGATCCTCCTGCCTCAGTTTCCTGGGTGCTGCAGTTTTAGGTGCACACCACACAGTTTACATGCCTACATCTTTTTTTTTTTGTCGGTCATGGAGCTTGAACTCTGGGCCTGCGCTGTCCCTCAGCTCTTCAGCTCAAGGCTAGCGCTCTACTACAGAGCTACTGCGCCACTTCCAGTTTTCTGAAGTTAAGTCTCACGGCCTTTCCTGTCTGGGCTGGCTTTAAACTGAGATCCTCAGATCTCAGCCTCCTGAGTAGCTAGGATTATAGGTGTCAGCCACCAGTGCCTGGCCATGCCTGCATCTTCATAAGGTATCTGCAGAGATATTACATTTAGAGGTCATTTAGTCCAATTCCTGGCAGAGGAACATAATATTCTGTATTTTGGACATAATGAAAAAAGAAAATGTAATTACAACTCTCCATGTTAGCTCATTACCACATTTAAATACCTTATATTTAAAGAGATGGGGATGTAGCTCACTGGTAGAGCACTTGTCTAAATTTAACTTACTATTATAACTTACTATGATGCTAGGCATCTAACCTATTGCCTTAAACATGCTAAGAGGTGCTATACCACTGAGCTCCATTCCCAGCCCTCTTCTATAATCTCTGAGACATTACTGAAATTCATCTCTATCTTTTTTTCCTTTGTGCTGGTCCTAGAACTTGAACTCAGGGCCTGTCCCTGAGCTTTTTTACTCAAGGATAGCACTCTACCAGTTGAGCCAAAGCTCCACTTGCAGCTTTTTTTATAGTTAATCGAAGAGAAGAGTCTCACCAACTTTTTTGCTCAGGCTGGTTTTGAAGCATGATCCTCAGATCTCAGCCTCCTGAGTAGCTAGTATTACAGGCGTGAGCCACCAGCACCTGGCCATTTCTGCCTTTTGACATCAAGAACCACTGAGTTATACCTAATCAGTTCCAAATTAATGATCTTCTAATCCTATTTAAGTATCAGTGAAACCATGCTTTCCTAAATTCCAAATAAATAAGTTTTTATTTTTTGAGAAGTGATATGGGAGTTTCTGAGGCTACACCTGAAAATTACACATCCACTAGTAACAGCTAGAATTGTGTGTGTGCAGGGGACAGAGTGAGTGGAATCCTGATTCAAAAATGGACCATAAGGGGTAGGAATGTGGCTTAGTGGTAGAGTACTTGTCTTAGCATGCATAAAGCCCTGGGTTCAATTCCTCAATACCACATAAACAGAAAAAGTGGGAAGTGATGCTGTGGCTCAAGTGGTACAGTGCTACCCTTGAGCAAAAGACACTCAGGGACAGTGCAAGGGATGACTGGAGAAATAACTCAGTAAGACGTACTTTTTCCATTCAATGTGATATTTGGAGAATTTCTGAATCTGCAGTGAGACCATCCAAGCCCAAGTGTGAACTGGAAGGAGAGCTGACAGAGGGAAGTGACCTGACTCTGCAATGTGAGTCATCCTCTGGCACAAAGCCCATTGTGTATTACTGGCAGAGAGTCCGGGAGAAAGAAGGAGAGGATGAACATTTGCCTCCTAAATCTAGGATTGGTAAGTCATCTTCCTACCACTCTACTGGGCCAATGAGACATATGGTATCCATGAACTCTACACCAGCTACAGTAGCTCACTTTGAATATACTCCTGAACCTCTTCAACTTCCATTTTTGTTCATTTATAAATGAGGACAGAAAAATCTTTCTTAAAATGACACAAAGAAATGCTAAGAGATTGGGAATAAATGTATTACATAAATCACTACATCTATCTTGTTGATCACTTAAAAGTTCACAAGCATTTTGTAACTTTTGAGAATGCAGTTCCATTTAAAAACATATTTACAATGGGTGCTGGTGGCTCACACTTATAAACCTAGCTACTCAGTAGGCCAAAGTCTAAGGATCATGGTTCATAGCTAACCCAGGAAGGAAAGTCCGTGAGATTCTTGCCTCCAGTTAACTACCAGAAAACTGGAACTGGTGCTTTGGCCCTAAGTGGTAGAGCACTAGTGCTCTGAGACAGCACCCAGGCCCTGAGTTCAAGCTCCATGACGTACCAAAAATAAATAAATAAATAAAGAGTGTATTTACCTGTTTCCTTTCCCTGTTTCAAAGAGGTAGATTTTCAATCATTTCTTTCTTATTAGTCTATAGTAGAGAATCAGTGCAGGGATGCTCATAAGAATGGGGAACATTTTTTCTGCAAGGACTATCTGGGTATTTTTAATAGGCAAATTATCAATACAGACAGGCTTAGGCAGTCAATAAGAAGCATACATGTCTGTCCCATCATATACCACGGGCTTCATTTGGCCCACAGGCTAGAGGTTACCCACCCCTGATAGAAAACAAGAAATATAGATGCTGTCACTTTTTAGCATCACTCTTTCTGTTTTTACAGACTACAACAACCCAGGGCGAGTTCTCCTACAGAACCTCACGATGGCCTCCTCTGGGCTCTACAGGTGCACGGCGGGCAATGAGGCTGGGAAGGAAAGCTGCGTGGTGAGAGTAACCGTACAGTGTAAGTACCTGACGGGCTTCTGTTTTTGTTGTTATTGTTTTACCTTTGTTTATTTCTAGGGATTGAACCCAGGGCCTTATTAAGTATACAAGGTAGGCACAACAACCAGACAGCAAGGAGTATTTTTATATCTTTAAATTAAATCAAATTTACTTATTTTACCATTTAAAACATTTTTATAGAAAATTAATTTATAAATCATTTTACAAGAAGATAAACATCAATGTTTATACCAACTTTAATAGTAAACAATTAAAATGAAAGAAAAATTCTATTTGTGCTTCAACATCTGTGTTTTGCTTCTTGCCTTTTGGAGAAAACAGTGCAATGTAAAGTTACAGTTTTTTGTTTTTTGGGACAAAGGCAACAATTAAGATCTTCCTTAATCATACAATTCTAAAGGAAAAACCAACTTTCCAGAAATTTTAATTTTATTTGCACATTGTTTCAATATAAGACTATTTATTTATTTATGCCAGTCATGGGGCTTGAACTTTGAGCCTGGCTGCTGTCCCTGAGATTTTGTGCTCAAAGCTAGCATTCTACCCTTAAACCACAGCTCCACTTCTATCTTTTTGGATAGTTAATTGGAGATAAGTGTGTCAGAGCTTTCCTGCCTGCATGGGCTTTGAACCATGATCCTCAGATGTCAGCCTCCTGAGTAGCTAGGAGATTACAGGCGTGAGCCACCAGTGCCTAACAGTAAAAGTAAGGTCAAGGTCAAAGTTTTCTATTTCTAGAAGGACATGTCTATTACCAAAAATAAGTTCAACCATTCAATATCTAGGTTTGACTCTCTATATTTACAAGTGTGTGAATTAACCAGCCCCTTAAATAAATGTACTATGGGACTGAGAGTGTGGCTTAGTGTTAGACCACTTGCTTAACATGTGCAAAGTCCCTGGGTTTGATGCCAAGCAAGAGAGATGCAGATGGTAGAGTGCTTATCTAGCACATGTGGAGGCACTAGGTTCAACCTCCAGTACTGAAATAAAAAAAAAACTGCTTTATTACTTAATAAGGGAGCTGGTAAGACTTTAAAATTAATTCAAAGTACATTTGAGAAGTTACAGACAGCAACAGTTGAACAGATGAAAAGATTGCTAGGTTAGGCATCAGACTGGTTAATGTTCTACAAAATCACAGCAATTTCTGAAGTCATGTGTTTAACTGGAACAGTAATTATTTCCATCTCTACTAGACAAGGGTCTACAAGTTGCCAAGTTGCTCCTACAAAGTTGTAAATGGTCAGTACTATACTAATGTTTATTTTTAAGTTTCAGGTAATTTTTTTGTACAAATTCAATAGGCATTTCACTGGGGAAAAATACGGCAAATTGCATGTTATGGCCATAAAAAAAGACTACAACATATATATATAGATAGATAGATATACAACATATCCATACTATATATATATATATAACACATATATATATAACACATATATATACAACATACACACACACATATATACACACTTTTTTTTGGGGGGGGGTCATTTGTGGGGCTTGAACTCAGGGCCTGGGCACGGTCCCTGAGCCTTTTTGTACTCAAGGCTAGAACTCTACACTTGAGTCTCAGCACCACTTCCACTTTTATGGTGGTTAATTGGAGAGTTTCAGGGACTTGCCTGTCTGGGATGGCTTTGAACTGTGGTCCTCAGATCTCAGTTTCCTAAGTAGCTAGGATAGGATTACAGGCATGAGCCACCTATTCCCGGCTACTTTTACATCTTTGAATGAAGTATAAACTGGTAGCAGCTTTTAGCTAAGTTGATCTACAGACTTGAGAGGAGTAAATATAATAAAGTAAAATTACACAGAGGAGTTCATAAATGCTTAATGTACACTTAGGTAGATTTTTCAAAAGTACGTCTACCTGGGTAACCAATAAGCACTGTGATTAAGAACCTGTCATTACCTCTTGCCACCCCTCCATTACTCAGATTCCAAATTTATGACTGCTTTCTTTGTTTCAAAACCTGAAAGAGACAGAATCACTTTTTTTTTTTTTTTTGCCAGTCATAGGGCCTGAAGTTTGGTCCTGGGCACTGTCCCTCAGCTCTTCAGCTCAAGGCTAGTGCTCTACCACTTGAGCCATAGCACCACTTCCAGCTTTTTTGCTCATGTGGTGCTGAGGAATCGAGCCCAGGGCCTCATGCATGCAAGGCAAGCACTCTACTACTGAGCCACCTTCCCAGCCCCACCCCCCCTTTTTTTTTTCCCTCAGCTCTTCAGCTCAAAGCAAGGGCTTTACCACTTGAGCCACAGCCCCACTTCCATTTTTCTGGAGGTTTATTGAAGATAAGAGTCTCACAGACTTTCCTGCCCAGCTGGCTTTGAACTGCAATCCTCAGATCTCAGCCTCTTGAGTAGCTAGGATTACAGCCACAGGGGCCTGGCTCCAGAATCACTTTTGGTGTCTAGCTTTTTCTATTCTACATTGTTTTTGAAATTCATCATTTTGTTGCTTGTAACTATACTATCATTCTCATTGTTTTATAGTATTTGACTGCCCAACTCGTGATTCATTTTAGATGGAAAAGTTCATTGCATTTTATCTAGCACTACTTCTGTGAATTTATCCTTTAGAGGTATTCTATATAGGTGCAAATATACAGAAATTACATATTTTCTATTGTGAAAAAAAGCAGCCTCAATTTCTATTACTAGCTAATCCACGTAGATTGTGTTGAGAGTAGGGCAGTAAGAAAAACATCATCCTTAGCTGAAATTGTAAACTGCATTACAGCCTTTTGAAACTTTAAATAGGATATCAAAAAAAATTTTTTTTTCTTATGGGTCGTGGGCTTGAACTCTGGGCCTGGTCCCTGTCCCTCAGCTCTTCAGCTCAAGGCACTCTACCACTTAAGCCACAGCACCATTTCCAAAAGTTAATTTTTTAATAAAATTTTATAGTAAGTTTAGTTCATGAAGGCAATAAAAGAATAAGCAGTATTTCTGATAATAAGCAATAGCCATCTATCTGCTTCTATGCACATTATTTTTACCATAGCCTAATCTAGCATCATCTCTAGCCCTATACTACTGATTGAAAGCATTCTAACTGGCATTATAGCTTCCTTTTTTTTTTTTTCTTTTCACCATCCTGGGACTTGAACCATGGGCTTGGGCTCCATCCCTAAGCTTTTGTGCTCAAAGCTAACGCTCTACTACTTAAACCACAGCTGCACTTCCACTTTTTTGTTTTCTGTTTTTTTTGGGGGGTCCGGTCGTGGGGTCTGAACTCTGGGCCTGGGCACTGTCCCTCAGCTCTTCAGCTCAAGGCTAGCACTCTACCACTTGAGCCACAGTGCCACTTCTGGCTTTTTTCTTATGTGGTGCTGAGGAATCGAACCCAGGGCCTCGAGCATGCAAGGCAAGTACTCTACCACTGAGCCACCTTCCCAGCCCAAAATTCTTTTCTTTTTGGGGGGGGGGGTCCGGACTCTGGGCCTGGGCGCTGTCCCTCAGCTCTTCAGCTCAAGGCTAGCGCTCTACCACTTGAGCCACAGCGCCACTTCCAGCTTTTTTCTTTTTTGCTTATGTGGTGCTGAGGAATCGAACCAAGGCCTCAGGCATGCAAGGCGAGCGCTCTGCCACTGAGCCACCTTCCCCTGGAGCACTTCCACTTTTTGTAGTTAATTGGAGATAGGAATCTCAGGGACTTTCCTGCCAGAGCTGGCTTTGAACTGAGATCCTCAGATCTCAGCCTTCTGAGAACCTAGGATTACAGGTGTGAGACCCTGGGGCCCAGCTCAAGTTACTCTTTCATAGCCATTACAACAAACTCTCATAGTCATTATAATAAACACCTTGCTCCTAGCTTCAAAGGCCCTATGTGACCTGGGCCTGACTCTGTGACTACATCACGATCATCACAAGACAATGTTTGCTATCATTTATATCTCAACTCAAATGCTAAGATATAAAGTATCAGAGTCTTCACTGCCACAAAATTTAGGTGGTATTCCTTCATTCTCCTAAATTATCACTCAATAAGAAGTGTCAGACAAAGAGAGTAATGGGTAGCTACTCTGCAAGACAGGAAGGAAATATCCTGTCCAGGAACTATAGTTTTTTAATTCATGTATTTCCTATCTTATGTTTGTTTTATTGTGCTTCTGAGAAAACAGATGTACAAAGCATCGGCATGGTTGCAGGAGCAGTGACAGGCATAGTTGCTGGAGCCCTGCTGATTTTTCTCTTGGTGTGGCTGCTAATCCGAAGGAAAGACAAAGAGAGATATGAGGAAGAGAGACCTAATGAAATTCGGTAAGCCTCACAAATTCTTAGGCTGGGCTTCCTTCCTTTCTAGGGCTAGTTCCACAGTAACTAGTCTAAACAAATACCCTCTCCCCCCCTCCCCCCACTCCTCTGAATCATAAAACAATGATCCTGATAAGTAGGAAGTTGCAGCCTAGGGACAGAAGGTTTGGTTTACACCTAGACTTTATTGGAAACTACTGTCAATAGACTTTTAAGTTCAACCTTACATTATTTCTGATTCATTTCCATTTATACAGGGCATTCAATAAGGAATGACTATGACCTACAGAAAATGAGAGGGTTTAGTGTAGGAACTCTAAATCAGCACAAATGTTATCTACACTATCTCACAGTGAGTTGTAGCCTCTCATTGTAGGCTGGATCCTTTGGCTAACAAAACAAACATTTGCTTAAACCCAGCATTAAGTATTAAGAAATGATGGGTGATTAGTTCAGTAAATGGCTGCCTTCTGATGATATTTGAAGTTTACAGGTTGAGGAATTTATTGGGAAACCTGAGGAGTGTAAGGTATATTAAATAGGTAGGTTTCATTAGGTAGCAGGAAAAGAAGTTAATTTACCAAACTGCTGCCCCCCCCCCCCCGCATGGTGGAGAAGCATGGCTGAAAAGGAAAAGGGTTGGGGGGGGGAAGGGGGGAGAAGAGTGACCCACCGCTGGGCCAAGACTTATCTAGACCAGGGACAGGAAGAGGTGTGGCCAGGTGGGGGTAAGGTGTGGCCTCACTGGATCTGGATGTAACCTCAGGGTCTGGGACTCTCCTAGAGTCAGAGGGGAGGCTTGTGACCTGTGGTGGCCCAGGATGTGACCTAGCAGGAGGGGAAGGTGACTGCTTCCAGGTCTGCCAGTTACTTAGGTAACAGATACTGGGAGGCAACTTAGCTAAAAGGGAGGGAGGTGTCCCTGTGTGGACCTTGCAAGGAGGAAGTAAGCATAGTGGAAACCATCATAATCCTGCCGGCTCTGAAGTTTATCTTTGCTGTTTTTCCTCTTTAGAGAAGATGCTGAAGCTCCAAAAGCCCGCCTTGTGAAACCTAGCTCTTCTTCCTCAGGCTCTCAGAGCTCTCACTCTGGTTCTTCCTCCACTCGCTCCACAGCAAATAGTGCCTCACGCAGCCAGCGGACATTGTCAACTGACGCAGCACCTCAGCCAGGCATAGCCACCCAGCCATACAGCCTACTTGGGTCTGACATGAGAGGATCTGAACCAAAGAGAGTCCACCATGCTACCCTGACCAAAGCAGAAACCACATCCAGCATGATCCCCAGCCAGAGCGGAGCCTTCCAAACTGTCTGAATTAAAGTGGACTTGACTTCCATGCTTTCCTAGGAGTCAGGATCTTAGGACTATTCTAGTCACTGAAACTCGTCACCAGCCACACAACCCCTTCAATCGTATAAGAGGTTATTTAAACAGCTGTGAACAACAAGTGGAACAGATTCAGATGGGCACTTTTCTTAGTATGACACCAGAGAAGCAAAAAGATGTAGGGTGATCATCTCCAGTAAGGCATCTCATATTGCTTTTAGACCAGAGGAAGAAAAAGCAGGGATCCAAATTTGTCTGTTTGCTGACCAGGTCCTGTGGTGAGGGTGCTGGGGAAAGGTGAGGCACATTTCCCCACCTAAGTTACCATTGTCAAGAAGAAATGGGGTGTTTGTGAATTTTGTATTCATTTCCGTGAACCTACTGGATTACTGTGATAATTCAGACAGTCAAACAGAACCCATGGCCTTATATGATACCTATCTGCACCAGGTATTGGGCAAATTGTTTCCAAGAACTCAAAAAAAAAAAGGCAATATATCTCTTCTGGTCTGACTTGACTTCATGTGTCATAAAGTTTAAGTATTGATTTCAGAAGGATATGAACTAGTAGGAGATGGAAAAGAGTGAGATTTCCCCACTGTACTACTAATCTTCTTAAGTTGAACCCTAAAATAAAACCTAAAAAAGAAGTCTAAAAAGTGTGACAAAGTTCTGTGAACAGCTTCTCTTAATGTTCGGAAGGATTACTGAAATATATCAGAACAACATACTGGAACAATTGTGAGTTTTTCCTCAAATTAGATGCCTCTAAGGACTTCCCTGCTGGACATCTCTGGAAGAAAAATATTCTCTACATGTCATTTAACAATGTCATTTAAAAAAAAAAGTCTTCTAGAGAAATAAGATCTGGGAATGTTGAAGATCATCTGACACAACATTAGTTTCCCTTTCTGAAAGGGTGTGAAACCAGAACTTCAAGACTGAGTGATTAGATCAGTTATCTCTTAATATGTTCAGGAATGGTACAAATAAGTGTAGTATTGCACCAAACTTTGAGCTTTCTCTATTTTTCATTTTAGATGGATAAGAATCTAGGATATTTAATGATTCTAGGCCTTAAATCATTAAAAAAAAATCAGGCTGCCAACATTTCCTAGTAGTATTGCGAGGACATGCCATAATCATTCCCTCTAGAGAGGCCAAAGCAGAAACTCCACATTTTCCCAGCTTCAACTTCCAAGAAAGCCTAGCTCTGGGCTGGAAGAAAAGAAAAAGGGAAGAAAAAGTAATGGGTGTCGAGAGAAGGCTCAGCTTGTGTCCATTGACATTTAAATTGCTGCTGCGGAAGTAGCTCAAAGAGTCCTTAAGACTCTGGATTTAATCTCTACCACTGCAGAAAAAGAAAAAAAAATTATCTGGAAAGCTATTGAAGGAGCTAATGCATCAGAGAGGAAAGGTAACTGTGAAAGGTAAAAAGTATAGCAACTTGGGATTTTTTTAAATAGTTTCTATTAAGACAGATGTCTATGGCACAAATGCTGCACTTGAATTATCCTTTCAATGAAGTTAACTAAATGACACCTATCTCCATAGGTGGAGAATATTTCTTATTATTAAAGGGCAACATGCAACAGAAAAGAAAAAGTATTAATGAAAATGGTGAAAAAAGCATTATCTTTAAAATGAGAATCAGATTCTTACAAGAAAAAGTTTACCTCGTTTTTCTTCCCTACATTTGATTTTCACAATAATGTCTTCACTGAGTAAAACTGCATTTACTTCTGAAGTCCTCAGGAATTTAGATGAAAATCTTGTTTTTTTTTATTGAATTTGTGGCCTGGCAAATTTTAGAAGGAAAATTCTAATCTCAATTTTGTCTTCTCTAAAAAAGGTAGAAAGTGAGAGACCTTAAAAAAAACCATAAAGATATTACTTTAAGAGAACTGGTCTATTTGGAATGCTTCTTATGCTAACTCTTACCTCATTGTAAGATTTAAAACCTTTACTTGGACTACAGTTTTATTCTTCTCCAAGGGTAGTATCCAGGCAACCTATCTCTTCAGCTCCTAATTCTGAGAATTCTTTTTCCTAGAGTACTTGAGCCAAATAAGCATACTATAGAGATGTCAGCTGTGTCATCATTAACAATTTTCTCTTATTTACTACTTTTGAACTAAAGGTTTCCTGCTTATGAAAGTAGAAGAGTTAGTATCATTGAATATCCAAGCTGTTTTACAAATTTATTCACAATGGAAATCTACAACAAACACACAAAACAGATTATACTAAGAGCTGAGAAATTTTAAGGACTTGAAGTCTCAGCAAGGTCAACACATTTCTTTTGGCTCTGAGTTTAAGATCAAAGGTACAGACACTAGGTTCTAGACCACATTCTGCTGACTTTTTAAATCAAATAAATTGATCCTTCAAAATGAAACTATGAAAGGGGATATAATTTAAACTCAGAAGACGAAATGTCGTAGTAATAAAATGCAGATGGAATAATGTGGATATCAGGAGAGTGACCATTTCAATAAAATATATAAATCAAAACTAAATTTGTAAAATAATGTTGATACTTTTGTTGTTACATTGTATAAAAACAATTTCAGAATTGCTTTTCCAAAAAGTTATTTATAATTTTGCTTCATTTCTGGTATTAAGCTATTTATGTTTCAATGTTAACTTCTAAATTGCTTTGCAGATGAGACTGTGAACATCACAAAACCAAATATTTATTATAGATGTATCTGTATCAGCAATTAAAAAATAAATAAGTAAAGGCAATACTGTAGGAAGGCTGAAGCTCATATAACCCACACTGGAAATTTGTTTATCAGCTTGCTGCCGAAGGAACTCAGACTGAATATGATCTATTATTTATTGATTTCAGTCACAAGTATACCAAGTACTTTATTCTCACAAGGCAAGATATCCAGAAATGACAAGAGTTGTTGTTAAAGCACTTTCTTAAAATCAACAAATAATTATTACTTAGAAAGTATTTTGTACCAAGGTAAAATGGCAACAACAACAAAAGCACATACTAAAGGATTTAAATAAATCTGAAAAACTTCATAGAAAGGTGGGTGTGGTGGCTTACATCTGTAATACCAGCACTTAAGAGGCTAAGAGTGGGGGATCTTGAGTTCAAGAACAGCTTTCCTGGGCTGGGAAGGTGGCTCAGTGGTAGAGTGCTTGCCTTGCATGCATGAGGCCCTGGGTTCAATTCCTCAGCACCACATAAGCAAAAAGAAAAAAAAAGCCGGAAGTGGTGGTGTGGCTCAAACGGTAGAGCGCTAGCCTTGAGCTGAAGAGCTGAGGGACAGTGCCCAGGCCCAGAGTTCAGGCCCCACGACCAGACCCCCAAAAAAGAAAAAAAAGAACAGCTTTCCTATATAGCAAGTGTAAGTCTTACTGCATTTGCAATGAGGCAAGGCCAACTCTTTGCAGACCCCCACCCCGACCCCAGAAAGTCACAGAGGTCTATAAATATAGTAGCAATACTAGTAGTTATCACTGAAGTACCATGCACTAGGCACTCTACTATATATTTTCATTTTATAAATTACAAAACTAAGGTTTAGAAAGGTCAGGTCTTAGCAGAACTAGGATTTAAGCACTGCCACTGGGATGTGCATTCCATCAGAATTGTGAGATACAGATTGTCTTCACTCTTTTACCCTAAACTATAGGTTTGCCCTTCTCTTTACATTCTGCCTTGTCCTAAGGCTTTTTAGGATGCCTGGACACACTTAAGATTGCTCATGCATGGGCTGGGAAAGTGGCTCAGTGGTAGAGTGCTTGCCTTGCATGCATGAGGCCCTGGGTTGGATTCCTCAGCACCATCATATGCAAAAAGAAAAAAAGCCGGAAGTGATGCTGTGGCTCAAGTGGTAGAGCACTAGCCTTGAGCTGAAGAGCTGAGGGACAGTGCCCAGGCCCAGAGTTCAGGCCCCATGACCGGACCCAAAAGAAAAAAAAAAGATTGCTCATGCATAAATCGAATTTGTTTTCAGAATTTCTTTGCTCTGAAAATTAGGATAAAATTTACAACTTTATAATTGCCTATGTTTTCATGTTAATAAAGTAATAATAGGTTTAGGTCATATACATAACCTTAGTTGAATGTTAATCACAGAATATCTTGAATTTATCAAGGTTAAATTTGTAGTCTTCTGAGACAAAAAGGACAAAACTACATTAATATCACAAAATAAAGTTTTTCCAAAGATGATTAAAAATATTTACAGAGGTCAAATATTTCAGAAACCCTATACTTAGAAGTAATTAAGTTAGGGGTGGGAAGGTGGCTCAGTAATAGAGTGTTTGCCTTGCATGCATGAGGCCCTGGGTTCAATTCCCCAGCACTTAAGCAGAAAAAGCCAGAAGTGGCACTGTGGCTCCAGTGGTAGAGTACTAGCCTTGAGCTGAAGAGCTGAGGGACAGTGCCCAAACCCAGAGTTCAGGCCCCATGACTGGCAAAAAAAAAAAAAAAAGTAATTAAGTTTACAAAATTTAGGGCTGGCTTTTTTCTCCCTCTTTCTGTTATCCCCTACCTCCTTTCTCCACTAACTTAGCAGTACTAGGAGTTGGCCCATGGTCCTACATATTCCAAGCAAGAGCTAGCTCTACTTCTAAACTTCAGCCCTGTCTTGATTTGCATGACCTTTTTATTACTGTTCTCAGATGGAAGTTATAAAAATTATGCCAGTGCTGTGGTTCAGGCCTGTAATCCTAGCCACTCAAAAAATTGAGATCTGGGGCTGAAAATGTGGCTTAGTGGTAGAGTGCTTGTTTAGCATGCCTTAAGCCCTGGGTTCAATTCCTCAGTACTATGAACAGATAAAGCCGGAAGTGGCACTGTGGCTCAAGCAGTACAGTGCTATCCTTGAGCAAAAGCAGCTCAGGAACAGTGCCCAGGCCTTGAGTTCAAGCCCAGGACCAGCAAAATAAATAATTGAGATCTGAGGACTGGTTTAAAGCCAGCCCAGGCAGGAAAGCCCCTGAGACTTTTATCCATAATTAACTCCCAAAAGCCAGATATGTCTGATTTAGAGAAACTCAAGCTGAGTTATGACAAATTATTAGAATCTATGAGAGCCTGACTTTCTCTATCTGAAGATAAGATCATAGTAAGAATAGGTGCTTAGAATAGATGATGAGAGGGGTTATACAGAAAATGTATGTCAAGCATGTAATAAAATAGTATTGGCAAAGATGAAAACTACCAGCTAAACACCACACTGGGCATGAAGGTGTTAGAACACATAATCTGGTTAGGCAAGTGAAATATAATGATGAAAAAAGATAGTGGAATTATTCCTATGTGTCAACAGCAGTAATTTATACCTAGCTACAGTTAGAAAGTTGAAATACTAACATCTTGAGTCATTCTGGTTTTAAATGTCTCTGGTAAATATACTGAACTCTTTGGGAAATCAGTTTACACATTTCATCTTTTAGTCACAAAATGGGTTGTTTTTAATATCTGAGATTTCAAAGTAAGAATTACCATATAAATTCACTATTCTTTGATGTTGAATAAAGTTTAAAATTGAATGTTTAAGCCTGGTGCCAGTGGCTCACACCTGTAATACTAGCTACTCAGGAGGCTGAGATCTGAAGATTGAGGTTCAAAGCCAGTACAGGCAGGAAAGTCCATGAGACTCTTATCTCCAATAAACCACTTGAGAACTGGAAGTGGTGCTGTGGCTCAGAGAAGTAGAGCACTCACCTTGAGCTGAAGAGCTGAGGGACAGCACCCAGGCCCAGAGTTCAAGCCCCATGACTGACCAAAAAAAAAAAAAGTATGTTTAGAAACACCACATACCACATAGCTATAAAACATACTATCCAGTTAAATGTTCTATGCTGGTGGCTCATGCTGTAATCCTAGTTATTAGGGAGGCTGAGATTTGAGGATTACGGTTGGAAGGCAGCCCAGGCAGGAAAGCCCACGAGACTCTTTTCTCCAATTAACCACCCAAAATCCAGAAGTGGGCTAACTCCAGTGGCAGAGCCCTAGCAAGGAACAATAAAGCTCAGGGACAGCACCCAAGCCGGGAGTTCAAGACCAAGAACCTAGCACAAAACGAGACCTTCCCCGACCCCCCCCCCAAATAAATATACTTATCAGGGGATGGCTAACACCTATAATCTTAGTTACTCAGGAGGTTGCTCAGGATTTTAGTTAAAAGCTAGCCCAAGCAGACAAATCTACAACTCCAATTAACCAGCAAAAAGCCACAAGCACTGTGGCTCAAGGGGTAGAGCTTCAACCTTGAGTGAAGAAAGAAGAGATTTCAGCCAGGCGCTGGTGGCTCACACCTGTAATCCTAGCTACTCAGGAGGCTGAGATCTGAGGATCGCGGTTCAAAGCTAGCCAGGCAGGAGAGACCATGAGACTCCTATCTCCAATAAACCACCAGAAAACCGGAAGTGGTGCTGTAGCTCAAGTGGTAGAGCTCTCGCCTTGAGCTGAAGAGCTGAGGGACAGCGTCCAGGCCCAGAGTTCAAGCCCCATGGCCGACAAAAAAAAAAAGAAGAGATTTCAAACCCCAGTGTAGGAAAAAAACAAAAGTATGCTTAACACTAACCAGGCATTTCACAGACTAAATATTTAGTCTGATAGAATCAAGGATTATGAGGCTGTAAAAGCCACACAACTTTGTCTTCATTTTAATGTGATTTCCAGCAATGTTGGTAGAAAGCAGATAGCGCTCTACCACTGAGCCAGCTTCCCAGCCCTAGATTTTTTTTTTTTTTTTTTTGGTCCAGTCGTGGGGCCTGAACTCTGGGGGCCTGGGCGCTGTCCCTCAGCTCTTCAGCTCAAGGCTAGCAC